ATGACCTTATATCCCTTTCTCTTATTACCTTTCCTTGTTTTCTTTTCAAGTCTCCGTTCGAAAAGCAGGAACGTTTCGATTTGTTCGAAGAAACGAAAAGGCCTTCAGGTCGGGCAATGCTAACAACGTTGCTTGACATTAAAATCTACGACAACGATTCCACTTTCCAGGTAACTTCCTCTCTATTCAATTTCACAATCTCAGTTTTTCTTTCTTTCTTTCTTTCTTTCTTTCTTTCTTTCTTTCTTTCTTTCTATTTTTTCTTCCACTTCCTCTTTTCTCACTATTCAAAAATCTCTTCCTCGGATTCCGACCGCATTTACTTAACTCGCCGTAATTTTTCTTCTCCCCCCACCCCTCACACACTTTTTTACTCTCTGTTAGTTTACTCAGATTTTCTCTCCCTTTTTTTTTTGTTTTTGCTTTCTTCTCTGATACATTTTTCTCTCGTTTTATCCTTTCGTTTCTCTTCTCTCTCTCTCTCTCTCTCTCTCTCTCTCTCTCTCTCTCTCTCTCATTTCGATTTGCGACGAGGCGTTTTAACACCGCCATCTTCCTTTTCCTACCACATCAAACACCCATTGATTTTCGATCTGTGTGAATTTTCCGAGATACAAAAATCAATACCTTCACGAAATTTCGGAAATGTGGTTATGGTTTTCAAAACAGAAATAATGCGTATATATATATATATATATATATATATATATATATATAATGAATAGGTAAATGCATAAATAATGTAGTGATACAACAGTAAATAAATGTTAAATGTAACTACTGTGGCACTATATGATATCGCGCATTTCGAAATGTTTAGTAGCTACGTGCTTCGAAGGACCGAGATTTCGCCGACAAACAAATAGTTCAAAAATAGAAAAGATAATGGCCGAAATGGATCTGCGAAAGAAAAATAAATTAGAAAAATTAATTAGGTTTGTTAATTAGCACCTGAATATACTCAGTACATGAACTGTTAACTTGTGTCTAAACCTAGTAAGTACAAAAAATGTATCTATTTGGGGAGTGTTGTAATAAATGACAGAAAATGTAACAAAAACTCAAAGATGCCTTCCAGAATCTAAATACAATAATAAGACACGGGAAAAATATGTCACAAATATCCAGGGATGCGCAGGAATAGCGAAAGATGCCTTCCAGAATCTAAATATTGTTAGAAACAAAGAAAATAGTTCTGAATGTTGGACAGTCATAGATGAAGTGAAAAATTAAAGCATTTAATTAGACGCCGTTCTGCAGAAGGATGATGAGAATGTCACGAACGGAGCATGTGAACATTGTGGACGTTTTAAGAAAACTGGGAACGAAAAGGACACCTGAGTTTAGGATAACGAAAAAAGCAGTTGAAAATTTTCGGATGCATAAGAAGAAAAGAGGGCTTGGAGAATATGACACGCACATGTGATAATGAAAGCAAGAGGTGGAAAAGGAAACTGCGAGCAACGTACATAACGAGATTTTGTAAATGCATAACAGTATAGAGAATTGGAAGGATATTACAAAATAATCATTGCTAAGAGCTACAAATGATAGGAAGTTGTGGAGAGCCATGATTAGCCTACTTAACAAGCTTTTGTAAATGGATGGCAGAATAAGGAGTGAGAGGGATAGTAAAAAAGATAAACATTGCTAAGAGCCGCAAAGGAAGTTGTGGAGTGTCATGATCACCTACGTCCTGAAGTTACACAGTGCATAAATAAGAAATAGCTTTAGAGTATTGAGAAAATAACTGACCAAAAGAAATTTTGCTTTCCTTACTCATAGATGTGTTTTATAGATTTTTAATGACTTTTTCGTACCAGCCAAAGAAAAAATTCTAGCTACTTGAAAACGTACAATCTGGAACTGAACGCTATGAAATGTTAAAAAAAATTCAACGGGAAAATTTAGATGAAATAGATTTTTTTTTTTTCATTAGCAGTGACCACATGTCGTGCGTCTAGATTTTCACAGTAAAGAAGTGATTTTAATATTTCGAGACTGTCAAATGTCAAGTATTTAGTGATCAGAACTTAAAGGTGTTTAAATCCAAAGGAAACTCTCCTTCTCTGTCTCTCTCTCACTCACACACATTCTCATTCTCTCTCTTTCTCTCTCTCTCTCTCTCTCTCTCTCTCTCTCTCTCTCTCTCTCTCTTTTCAGGTGATGTAGTCAATTGTTGACAGGTGAAAAATAACTGATAAGAAACATTTGGTCAAGATACCCAAAAGCAAAAGACTTAGGAATATTCATTATCAGCTAGTTTTTTTTTTCTCTCTCTCTTTTTATCTTAATAGAATCGAATGAGTTCTATCAGAGGCGGTTCGTCACGGGGGTTGCGGTTTGTCACGAGGCTTGCGGTTTGTCACGAGGCTTGCGGTTCGTCACGAGGCTTGCTGTCCTAAGAGGACGGGAACCTGCCGCTAGTTGCATGACAATATCATTGTCACCTTTACGTTTCCATAAGTACATAGATTTGACCCACATCACACCTATTGTCATAATGAAGTAGAACATATCTGTATCTCTGAGATGATTTATTATGATTACTTACATTATTCAGACTGTTATCCTCATCTTCGTTGCCATATTCACAACGTTTCAGCCGTTGTACGCTCCGGTTTTCTTCAGGTGATTGCAATTTCCATTCGAACCCTTTATTTTGTCCACCGGGGCAGATTGTTCTAGTTCCACATCTCATGCTTCTTCCGGATGTCGAGAAGTTGAGCGTCAGACATTAGGGAAATAACTGAGACATCCGGAAGAGGCATGAGACGTGGAACTAGAACAATCTTGCTCCAAATCTTCTGTAACCCCTTGCGTTCTAGTGGCTTCCCGCCTTTCTTGGGGTGAAACGCTTAAAAAAAACTTGCCAAGTTTTGGTTCACCACTGGTGTGACCTGGTATTGAACTTCCAACTCTTTGGTCACTGGATCTAACCAACGCCTTTATCCACCAGGGTACGCCAGTCTTAGGAAGACAAGCAACGACGTGTCATCACCGCACTATCTGCATCCGCAGGTATGGAACATTGTCTTCCCAATTGTGCAAGATTAATATTCATACGCTATTCGACAAGTATTGTTTATAAAATATTTTGGGTATCTAGTCACCTTCCTCAGCAGAAAAAAAAGTGGCCGATGACCCCACCGTGCGGCAGCTAAGTTAAAATAAATGTTAAACTCAATGAAAATAAAATTAATTTTTATTCATTTAACGTACACTTAGAGGCATTAATTTTGAGAAAGATTTAAATAATTCACTTTCTATTTAACCTTTATTTACTGAAATTTAAAACAATGTAAGCTTAGTAGCCGATTTCGGACTCAAAGATTTTTGTTTCATTCAAATGACTATTTTTATTTCATTTCGATTACCATTTGTCACTTTTGGTTTGCCTAACGTCCCATTAAATGGCAAATCATGTTTGATATTATCAGCTAAAATAAATAAGTTTAGCAGATGCAATTTTAAAATTCTTCAGTTTTTGCTTATCTTTGAGCAATTAACTCAAGTTAATTTCTTTAAAAAAAATTTACAACAGTCAAACATAGATTCATCATCATCAGACCTATGATGCGGTGTAGTCGTAGAGTCTCTGCCCAACTGACCCCCCCCCCCACACACACACCAGCTCGTTTTACAAGTTTCAGTTGTGTGCCAATATCAATGTTATCGCCGAAGATGTATTCATTCATGCGTATTGTGCCTTGGCCAAAAAAAGTTAATGTAGCCTATTCCTCTGCAGATCAAACCACAACTTATGTCCTCGGGCTTGAAGGCTCACCTTGGTCATAGAGATGTAGCCGTTGATAACATCGGAGGAAGCCTCTGCCCTGGTCATTCAATCTAAGAAGCCCTCCGCCCTGTGAAGCCGTGTCATCACGACCAAAAGTCCAGCTCCGTGTACTGATTTAGCCTGCAACTGGAGGTAGAAACATAATTTTTGAAATCTCTTATCAATAAACGAAAGAAAATATTACGTAATAATCGTGAAACTATGCAATGGCGGAACTGGAATGATTATTTAGTGTTTAAAACTTTCAAACAACGGTCTATGAAAAAGATTGAATCTTTCATGGTTGTCGCCATAATAAAACCGACATATTTGTTGTTGAGTGTTATGGATTTTCTTTTCAGGGCCAAACATTAAACTGAGAAAAATGCCACTTTTATCATGAGGCGCCTTTTATGAATGAGAACAAATTATATTTAGACCAGTATACAGAAGAATATCAAAAGTCTTTGCAAAGTAAGGGAGATAACTATCGAATATTCTGCTCTTTTTTTGGACGAGGAAAGTAAGTGTATTTTACGGCAAATTCCGCTATGTCACAAATCAAGTTAAAAGTCTAATGGTTAGAGGATTGAGAATGATTGATAGGCGAGTGGAGTCGAATTCTAATTGAGATTATTGTATTCACATTCGCACAAAAATTTTTTTGGGAAAGTATGAATCCATCCATTCTCTACTATGGGTTAAATCAACACGGGAGACAAGTTTTAATCTGTCACCCGAAAAGGAAATTGAAAATGTCTGCATGATAACCCGAGGGTTCCGGAAGTGGGATACTTTGTTGGGGTGCACTAGAACAAACCAGACCAAAAACTGGGAAATAATATCTGTTCTGGAAAATCAATGATTAAAATAAAACTGCCCCTTCGCCCGCCACCGGTTATCAAAATTACGGCCAAAAGGATGGTCTCAGATGAAATACCGAGAGAGGAGGAGAAAGGGTGAAAATTTACCTCCGCCTATTTGGAAATAATGGTGTGAGACATAAATAAGATAATTTCAGTAAGTAAAGACTATATTTGCATCTAAATCTGAAAGTTGGGGAATTACCGAATCTCCAGACCAGTCGACCCCATGCCAGTCTTAGACCGGATTCAATATAAGCAGATCGCGTTGGCAAATCAGGCTGTTATAGATAGAGGAGACCAGCGACGAAGAGCGAACGAGCTGCTACCAAAACTCCGAGTGACCTGTTACCGGGAGAATTCCCGACTTTGAACCCCGTTCCAAGATTTAGAAGATCTAGTGTCACTAGAGAAATTTAAGATGGAACGGTTGTTTTTTGTGCCAGAAACTATATAAACCAATTTAAAACTAACTCGACGAATCTTCCGTTTTTATTTCGTCTGCGAGAACATTTTTATTTCATTCATAATACAGCTTTGCCGTGGCTCGAACCAGCACTCCGAATTACCGACGACATTCGTTCTTCACTGCGCTGAGATCAAAGAACACAGCGTGGGCAGATTGGTGTGGATCAAAACGGCGAGTGACCAACAACCAGTTAACCGACGACGGTACTGGCCAGCGTAAAGTTGAGCTTGTGATTGTCGTCGTTCTACAACCCTGACGACCAGATCGCAGGTATGATTACATCTTCTGGTACAGGTGGCGTGTTGCAGTGTCCATACTATCTGGTTGTTGCAATCCAGATATGACCCGGGATCGACCGAAGCGTGCGTGTTATACAGTTGAACACTCTTATTTCTGCTTCAAATGAAATTTTTCTGTTTTTTAATACTTTTCATAGATAATCCAATACAGCTTCGGATCTCGGTGACACATTTTACATCTCCTGTTATCATACTTCACAGATAATTAAATTGCTGCACTTGCTTTATTTTAATGTTTTTAATTTGTTGCCCACATCCCAGAGTGTCCTTCGTCTTGTCTTCTGAAAACAGATGATTAGTCCGTTCTTCTTGCTTTCCTTTGCTACCTTGTCTAGAAAGACCTGCAGTTTTCTTTCTGAATCTGCCATTAACACAGTGCCATTTCCCGATGATAAATCCTGCTAGAATCATAAAGAGACAGTTGAAATTTTAGCGACATATAATGAGGAAAGAGGTTTAGAGAATTTGACACTGACAGGACATATTTAAAGCAAGAGAGGCAAAGGGAAACATCAAATAGCCTACCTAACAAGCTTGTGTAAACAGAGACTGGACGGGAGAGTCATCCTCGAACAAACCTTCCAACAAAAGCTGCGAAAGATGTGAAGTAGTGGAGAGACATGATCTTCTACACCATGAAGGAACATAGCACAGGAAACATCACGATAGCTTTTGTCAACAACAGTGTCCACGGGAAAGTGTATGCTGCAATGTCAACTGATTGCAAACTATTAAAATGAAGAATTGCCAGATTAGTGGAAAAGAGTGAAATATGAAAGTGACTGTTGTTGGTGCATCATTAGCGGAGTACTCGGAATAGTTTCCAATATTCTTGCAAACAGATTAGATTTGGAGATCGAATTAAGAACTAAATCCATCCAGACGATCTTCTTCTATGTGCTGCGCCCTTTCAGAACATAGGCAATCATGGCCCCCCATAACTTCCTTTCCCTTGTGGCTCTTATCAGTTTTTATCCTTTTGCTAAGGCTCCCCCATTCCGTTCTGCCATCCATTCATACAATCTCGTCAGGTCAGTGGCTTTCTGCCTTCCTCTATCTTTCTTACCCTTAATATGCCGCGTGAGAATTAAATTTTCCATGTCATCTTTCCTCATTATGTGTCCAAGGAATTTCAGGTATTTCTTCCTGATTCTGAATAGAATTGTTCTTTAAGATTAACTTTTTGCTTACTCACCCTATCCATGGAATTCCCAGTATACTTCTGTAGAACAATATTCTTGCTGCCTCAAGTATTTTTTCCTTATTCTTGGGAAAATTGTCCAGCATTTATTGTCATGTAAGAGGACGGATACCATACAGCAAATCAGCACACTTTTCTTGGTTTCTAACGAAATTCTTTCCACAACATTACTATAATCGGCAAGACAGCTGAGGAGGGGGTCTGGAAAATTGAGGAAACTTTCATTCACTTGATCTTTAATGGAAGCCAACAGAATTCAACGCAAACAGCAATAATAATAATAATAATGAGAGGAGGAGGAGGAGGAGGACGTGGAGGATGACAGTAGCAAGATGACGATCCAGCAAGCAATAAATAAGTAAATAAATAAAAATAATTCTAACAATAGAGAAGTTACCAAATGTCATGAAAATTCATCTCTTATCTCTTTTTTTAGCTGATAATTTATCTTCGTTTTGTATCTGTTTTAAATTTCATAATTATTTTGTTTTTAATTTAATTTCGTAAAATGAATAAAATTTACAAAATTGTCATGAAATTTCAAATAAAAGCAAATCGCAAATAAATTATCTTTTTGATAAATTTAACTCATTAAAAAAAAAAGGAATGTATGGCGGCTAGAGTTCTAGTTAAACGTACAGGAAAGTGGAATCAATGATTCTGTTGTGTTCAATTTCGTATTAATGCGTCTCTTCTCTTCACCCACTAAGCTATGCGTTAAATGGCTGCATAGATTGGGTTCTCTAGCCTTGGGTGGAAACCAGTCTAAGATAAAACATTCAGAAGGCAATGGGA